AGCCCTTCTTCTTCGTCGTCGTCTTGTCTGATGCACTCAACCAAGCGTTCTAACCATGACCTCGCCCCTTCCCACCCCCCTACCATTCGAATTTCCATAGACAGGAATTATTTTAATGATATTCTAATGGGCCGCTGTAATATAAAAAACCATAAACGCTGTAGTCCAAACGAGCCGTTCGTTGTAGTTCTTGAAAATTGATTTTTTTTAAACGAAATATCTCCCTTTGGAGTGAACTTTGAGATTTGTAAGTTTGAAGATCTTTTTTTTATGCCCAAACATACACCCTACACACTGACTAGAAATAAAAGCATAATAGGACCCCTTTTAAACCATATGAGTTTAAACTTCAGATATAAGGTTTTCTGAGCGCACACATCCGAAGCACACGGACAGAAAGCGGCTGTCACAGCATGTGAGTACTAAACTAAGCTCTCATTCACACACAAGTTTATGTTAAAAACACACGAGTTACAAAAACAGCCGGTTATGTCTGTGAAGGTAAACAGCTGGGAAATAAATTGCATGTTTATTTTAGATCTGTGTGGCAGCAGCAATATACAGTAAATGAATCAATAAATCCACTGCTCTGTTGTCTCCTCTGAGGCTGGGACTCTAAATAGTGTTCTGTGCTCGTCTGTGCAGCCAGAGGCAGAACAGTTAGCATGTTTTGCTCAAACTTTCGCCATGGCATAAGAGCTGGTTCACTGTTGTCGCTTGCGAAAACACAATAACGGTGCCGTGGGTGTAAACTTACAGATTAAGGGGCGGTAATATTATAATGAGATCCCTTTGCCATGTCACCAAGGGAGCGAAATCAGACGTGCTCGTTTTCTCAGACGCTTGCAGAAAAAGGCTTACCTAAACAAAGTTACTGGGTTAATCTTTTTCACGTTTCCTTGGTTGGTAGATGCACCAGAGACAAGATTGTAGCACTTAAAACCTGGAAAAGACAGATTTTCATGATATGTCACCTTTAACACTTATAATTTCAGTTTCAACTAACTAAACTTTTTTTCTGCTTAGTAGCGATCATGTCTTTCTGTTCCATTTGATTTGTGTGTGTGTGTGTGTGTGTGTGTGTGTGTATATATATATATATATACATGTCATATTTAAGGTAATGATGCAATACATATCATATTATTGATATTAATAATATGATAATATCTGTAGTCAATATTGATTAAATGGGAGGGGGAAATTCTACCCAGACCCAGCTAGGAAAGAAAATTATAAAAGGACTTACTGAAGTGGTATTCTGGAACTGTGAATAAATGTAATAAAACAGCAAAATAATAATAACAACAACATCTTCATCAAAAAAAAAGAGAGAGAAATTACCTTAGATAAAGTTTGATTAATATGTACATACAGTAGCGGTCAAAAGTTTGGACCCTTTACTATTTTTAATGTTTTTTAAAGACATTTCTTATGCTCATCAAGCCTGCATTTATTTGATCAAAAATACAGGAAAATAAAAATAAAAATAATAATATTCAGCAAGGATGTGTTAAATAGATACAAAGTTATAGTAAAGACTTATATTGTTATAAAAGGTTTATATTTTTATTTTTAAACATCCTTTTAATAATCAGAAAATCCTGAAAAATAGTATCACAGGTTATAAAATAAACATTAAGCACTCTTTCTAACATTGATAATAAATCAGCATATTAGAATGATTTCTGTAGGATCATGTGACACTGAAGACTGGAGAAATGGCTATTGAAAATGCAGTTTTGCATCACAGAAATATATTTAAAAGTATAGTAAAAATAGAAAACCATTATTTTAAATTGTAATAATATTTCACAATAGTATTGCTTTTTTTCTGTATTTTTGATCAAATAGGCTAAATCCAAGCTTGATGAGCATAAGAGACTTCTTTCAAAAACAAAATTGTAGTTTCCATATGTTTGTACTGTATAAGTAAAACATACAAAATTAAAGTTAAATGTTGTATAAATAAAAAGGTTAGGAATCATATTTGTTTCAAGTGCTTTTTATTGGGGGTCGGGGGGCCTCCAACATGAATTTTGCCTAGGGCCTCCTAATGTCTAGAACCGGCCCTGCATTAGTGAGAGAGTTCAATACAGATGAGTTTTGTCCTGAAGTCAGAGAGAATGAAGAGACTTACAGATAATTATGTTAAATGAGTTCATGAAGTCTTCAGATCGTCTGTTGAAGCTGATTGAGATTCAGTTGCTCCTCATATGAGGTTGTAGTTGGAGGTCCAGCAGGAGCTTCATTCTGCTTTCTATGGCGAGTCAGAGGCGTTTGTCTGAGGACGTGACGGAGCCAGAGCCTCCAGAAAACACTGGGATCAGAAAACTAATTACAGGACAAAAGCAAAACAGAAGAAATGTTATGAAATATGACATCAAATATTGTATGAACTATAGAGTTTTAACACATTTTCAACATTTTTTTTATTTTTTATTGTTTGAGTCACTTTGTTTTTTCTTCACAGATTCACCCAGATCTACACTGATTGTGACACCAGACAGTCCTGTATTCACTGGAGAGACAGTCAATCTGAAGTGTGTGATTGAGTCTTACAGTGACTGGAGATATGAGTGGTATGAAGGCACAGACAGTGTAATGTTACAGACGTCTGAGCGTTACACTGTAAACAGAGACACTCTCACTATCAGAGGAGCTACTGAGTCTGATCAGGATCAGTACTGGTGTAGAGGACAGAGAGACGAAAGACCAAAATCATCACAATCAAGCTCTGCTGTTTCTCTCACTGTGACGGGTGAGTTGAATATCATTGTCCTCTTAAACTCACTCTAAATGTACGGTTACAGATCCGATCGAGAGATTCTCAGATGTTACATTCACACTGCTGATAAATACACTTGTCACTCTTCTTTTGAGGGTTTATTTTTAAGGGTTTTATACTCTGTTTAATATTTATTTAATACTGTTTAATAATATTTTAACTTGCTAACGGGTCGTTTACACGTGTTCAAAACAGATAGAGCAAAACACAATGAAACTAATTGCAGGAATCTTAACATGTATTTTAATCCTGATAAAAACAGAGAGACACGACAGACGACACAACAGATAAAGGCTTCTGTCTGACAGACCTGGGCCCGTTTTCATGAAATCTCTTAGTGCAAAGTGTTGCTCCTAGTGAAAAAATTCAGAGAAAATTCTTAGATAAGTGGACATTTCCCCTTACAATTAAAGAGAAGATCTTAGGGAAGATAAAAGTTATTCACAAAGCATCTTAACCCTTAAAAGTGTTAGGAGTAGGGAGGAGTACTTTTAAGAGGCTTAAGAGTTCCCTTTCAGTCGGTCACTCCCAACGTCACGTCGGATGACCGACGAATTGGGATCTCGCTTAGAGAGACCAATCTACTTCGAGTGTAAACTAAACGAGCCAATGCACATTGGCATGTGATTATTGCATCCAGCTGCCGCTGATCACAGCATGAGTATAAGTAGGCAGCAGATGCAGCGCATATTCAGCTTTTCGCTTCGGAGCCGAGCGATCACATTGTTCTGCTCCTGACTACTCTACTAAGAGAAGAAGACTGAACGAGTTCAGCGCGCTCTTTGAGAGCTCTTCGTGTTGGTGGTACGGCGCTTCAGCGGTGGTGGTTTCTCGTGTCGAGTGGGTTGCACACATCAGGCTGCACTGTTTGTGTTGCAGGTGATCATCTCTCCTGTGCGCCTCAGCACGCTAAAATAGCTTTTTCCGTAAAAGAGCAATTTCGGGTGCGTCTTTTTAAAGACGACGTTGCGTGGCAAATTTGACGTTACGTCTTTGTAAAGACGATGTGGGTCTTGCTATAGACAACGTATCACCCGGGCGTTTCTGGATGCGGTCATTACCTGGCGCTGGGTGATGGTCACGATCGCTGCCTCACGTGCCTGGGCATGTAGCACGCTGAGGTGGCGTTTGTGGATGAGTCATCTTCTCATTGCGGGAAGATGATCATCTCGGAGTCGCGGGCCAAGCTCCGTTTCCTCAAGGGGCGGAGTTCCGTTGCCTCTGCCTCGATCTAGTTCTCCTCATGGCGGCAGCCAGGCGGGGGCTACTTCAGGCAGTAGAGCGGGCGGTCTTAGGCACTCCGCAGGCAGTTGAGCTGCCAATGGAACGTGCTGGGCCCTCTACAAAGTACTCGACTGGCCAACGATGCTTACGGCCTGTGGAGAAGCTGCCTCCGCCTACGCTCATCCTCCTCCTTCGCCAGCTGGCAGCAGCGGGCGGTTCGAGAGAGTCAAAGAAGGCCCTAGTCGCGCACCCTCTGCCAACCTGTGGAACCAGGTAAGCGTTGCACTGCACACTCAGACCCTTCTTCGGTCCTCTCACAAGCCGCTCGAGTTGGGTCCCTGCGTTCCACCTCGCTGCCCCACTGCGGGCACGGCAGTGGTTCCGTTGGTCCCGCTTGCACGGTATCTGGGTGCCTGGCTAGCGCTACCCAGCCCGTCTCGCTGGCTTCT